AGACTTCTGGGCCGGAGTCAACGAATATATCTAGGTCGGAAATGGCAGAGTCTCGAGACGAGTTTGTTCCATCGTCAGAACCTGAGGATGCTTCGTAGCCATATTGTGAAAACTTTCCGCCGCCATAAGATCGGGGCTCCTTTGCCATGTTGATCAACGAATAGAACCTTTCGACGAGACTGATGCGGTCTTGACCAACGAGTTTCCAGCTATCGTCGGGCCGCGACGGCTTTATAAGACGCGGTCAGCGGCGCACGGTCTCGTCATCCCGTTCTCCAGTAATATGCAATCAGGTGGGCCCCGATCGTCCATTGCGAGGTCCGGGCTGCCCAGGCACTGAAGATGCCCAAGGACAATGCCTTGGCCAATTTGAGCTGCGTTCAGGGGTCTTTGGAGCCGAACCACACCTGGCAAGCAGATTTCACCGCATTCAGGACATCCCCATCAGCCCGTCTCCTCGCTTGATACCCATCTCGGCCGCGCCAATGTCAAGGGAGCCGTAGGCGGGTGACAAAGAACGAGAGGCCAGCCGCCGCCTACCTGGTGCTTCCTCGCTATTTCTGATACATCAGATTTAGCACTCTTGAAGCTCGCCTTGTAATTATTTCTCCGGGTGCTGTCGCTCCGACGCCGCTGACATCCTACACCCGATGCCCATTGCTGCATCAATAACCATGAAATCATGCTCGAGACGACCGAAGTCTAGCCGCTATCGTTTTGGCGTCGCTTCTCCGCTTTGTCAGCATTTGGAAAGATCCTGTTTTCCAAGCAAAGCTGCTCGCCCCATGTCTGTCGCGAAGTCCAGGAACGTAACTGACGAGAGAATTTGATGCAAGCGAACAATGTGCTCACAAGGGACAATGGCATCCATATATACCACGACGAAATAGATGTCACTTGCATGTGAGAACGATCATGGTGAATTCGCGTGATTGAATGAAGTGCGCAGCGTTTGTCCCGAACCACCTTTCTACCCGCGAGTACTATATGCCCTACTTCGTGGACTCACCGGCGAGCAACAGCTGATGTCTGGCCCGCATCGAATTCCAGGTCCTCTCAACATAAAACCAGCTCACAGGTTCTCCCTCCGAACGCAATGTACCATCTTACTGAGGTATAGCTTGAAAACGGTCAGTGTCGGATCTTTACCGACGTACCAGGGGGACCTGACTAATTGCAATAGGCATGAAAAGCAGGATTCGAAATCTCCAAGTTCGCTTTTTCCACAAGCCTATCATCCGATTGAGGCTATCCAGGCCCTTCGCCTGCGATTGCTACATGTGCTTCTATGAACTTGACCATCGTCGATACAAGCCAATCCCCCACTGGAATTTCTCCCTCATCCTGACAATCTTTGACGGGGAGCCTGTATTGCACAAGTTTTGATTGGATCCCGATTCTGTTCAGATCCCGCCCGATATTGGAGGAAACGCGACCAATCCTTGATGTTTCTGAAGGTTCGTACAAGATCCGAGATAGTTGCAGGAGAGGGGATGTTTCGGGCAGGCTACCCTCGTCGGTGAAAGGAATCATCTCAACTACTTCTATATTGAGCACACCTGCAGGTGCAAGGCAAGTTTGCACGTTCCTGAGATATTCTGGCCAGTTTTCTATGTACTCGATCACTCGAGAATGGATCAGATCGTACTTTCGCTCCTTCCACATCATGTTCGGGTCGACTTCAAGACAGATGTCATCGTTGAGCGAGTCTCTACAAGATCGTCAGTTCCTGTCTTTTGGCGGACCTTTTCAACGTACAGCCGGGGATGAAGCTGAGGGTCACGATATCCTATAAATTGTGCATTCGCAAGTCCGTTCAAAGCCCTCATTTCGGCGGCTCGATTCAGCCAAATCGCGCTGTTCGTTGGGAAGTCTGCGACAAGTTTGACTTCTGTCACTAAATGCCAAGACTGAGGTCCGAAAGCAATCTCTAGAGTATGTTGTAGCAAGTCCCAAGCTTTCGCGAGGGTGTCCTGCCACAGCTGTCAGCGCGAGCGCGAAGGGAGTAGGGGTGCCCGCAATGGATCGCACATTTTTCGGGTACTGCTGTATAGCGGATGGTACAGCCATTGCGAAGTCTGGCGCTGAGCTGTTTTGAACTAAAGGGAGTAATAAAAAAAGACAAGGCGTCTTGCTCACAGTCGTCTTGTCTGGGTTGTGGACGCGACAAGTCAGACACTCCTCCTTGATGAACAGTGGGAAAAACGTGACCCATCGGACTCTTCAGACCCTTGCAGGCGTTCCCACATGTGTTTGGCGTCATGTGATGAAAATTACAACGCTTTCCCTGATTGATGAGGCTTTCTACAGGGGATACCTCGAAGGCCTAGTAATCAGGTTCGTCGGCTCTTTGCTCGAGGTCGGCCTACGCATGGACTCCGTCGCAATCTCGGATCTCGCAACCCGGGGGTTCCGCCTGTTGTTGGAAAGCTACCCTCCAAGGTCTCTAGAGAGATGGCATAAGGAATCGGAGCATCTCATCAAAGGCGTCCTAGGATCCATTGGGACAATGACCGGGACATTCAGAAGATTAGGAAAGTGCCTGGTCACAGCTACAGCCCTCGGCTTGAAGTGGTGCGAGTCGCTAAGTCGAAGCGGCGAAGCCATCTGAGTAGTCATGCGCTCGTCGACTCTTGCTTGGGCGCGGATCTGATCATGAATGGACGAAGCATCGTCTCGACAGCAGAAATTGAACACGAGCAAAGTACATGTAGAGCCAAACGACAATCAGGTTTTGAACAAATTGGCTCAAATCCGAGGACCATTTCCTCTTCGAAAGTTCTCTGCTGTGAATGGCACAATCCGCTTGTGTGCCACCTGTGGTATGCATACCACATTCAGCTGAGTGAACCTAATGATCCACGACCGCAGGAGTTCCAATCTTTGTGGGTCGTAGCGCATAGCAGTGGGATTATGAACAGGAAAGGAGGTGTGTCACGTCACTTTGGAGCATGTCTGATTAGCCTGTTGCAAGCAACAAAACGGGCGCGGTGCGACGTCAATTATTTCCCCTTTCTTCCCCTCTCCGTCAAGCTTTTGGCAGGATATCGAACCATATCCTTTCTGGTAGCTAACTGAATCTGTGAACGTACTCTAGGTTGCTTCCGTACCGACAATCATTCACAGTATTTCGCACGCCATAAGGGCCTCCACGGAAGTCAATGGCCAAAGGACCAGATTGTCGCATCTGGAAGCCAGGATGCCAGCCATGTACGCCTGCTCAACTGCCCGGAGCTCTCCATTAATTTCCATGCGCGTCTCTGTTGCGACTCGAGGGATGAAAGAGGCCGTTTGGGTTTGCAGTCGCACGCGGACTTGTTCCGCCGTCGCGTTAGTCTCGGTCTTGCTGAGTCCCTTCTAGGCTCCCATTTCGGTAAAGATGATGCGTCCAAGATTCAGCAGCCAGCAGAGGTTTGCCCATGTACCAGTCCAGCTAAGGCTTCTTAGGCCTTCACTCGGGATTTCGTTTGCGGCCTTCGGCCACATCTGGGTCTCGAAATGGTCAGAAAACCCGATCAGTCTACGGATGTCCTTGGCGCTCGCTCTGTGTGAATCATTAGCGACAATTTCCTCGACTCGTTAAGGCTCAGCTGAAGCGGGGAGACCGACCGCCATTGGATTAAGATCCTAAAGGACAAGTTGTGACTACCCACAGGGCACAGCAGTGCCAGCTCGTTTAGCTCAGGGCATCTAACTTTGCCACGGCTGATCTCGCGAAACCCAGCGTGAAGGAGACTGTCTGGCTCGTCATGGCTACGACTGAACGCGCAATCAATCCAATAGACTTCATTCTTCTCGATTTGGTGTCCTAGAGCTCCCTGTCTGGTTCGCTATCACTTGTGCCAGGCCTCTTATGCGCCGGTGCCATCGTCGTTGACGGTCCGTTAGGGTACCAATTGCAACTTCAGCAGGATAAGTGTGGTGAACATTGGTCGTCTCGAAATTTCTGTGCGGGATGCTACACTAGCGACGACGTTACGAACATAACGAGGGGGTGTGTCACAAACACAAGTTTCTGGAGGGCCAGGGTGGACCGTAAATGATCTGGGTGCCTGGCAAAGAGAAGGGAGCGAGCCTTAGGGGCATTGGTTCTTAGCAAGGCATCCATGCCCAGCTACAGTGGCATAAGCAGCAGGCTATGCGTCCTGTTCCTGTTGGCTCGACGGGCGAGATTGCTTTCACACGGTGTCTTGGAGGCGGGCGTCAGACAGGCCATTAAGGATATGGGTTTCCCGGAACATCGCTTTCGTTACCAATCATCGTTTCTGAAGCCGATCCGTCTCTCTGTATGAAGCTATCAAGCATACGTCTTTATCATTGGTACTTCGAACTGATGCAATCCTGCAGCTTCCTGAGCTTCTCAATGCTCCTCTGCAAGCTGAGGCCGTTGTAGCTTGAACGGCGCAAGGTCTGAAATTGATGTTTTATGACCAATCACCCCTGACATGCACCAAGTCTCGATAATCTTCATTGCCTCCTGGTTAGTGTTTGACTCCCTCCGTACTAAGGATTTATTGTGGCATCTGCGGTATATAGACCCAACGTTAGTTGAAGCCGTGATTGATAGATATGCAAGGTGCGTAGGAGCATGCATGACGTGCGTTGGCAATGCAAGACGTACACTTCATTGACTCCATCTCGTCAGGCAAATTACCAATATGCTTGAAGTGGGAAGATGCCTCAACGGACTGGTCAAGGAACATGGATAGACTAGGTTCAAGTGGATGTTCCTGCCACTACTTCGTGTGCATCGTCACTACCGGGGGTGCTAGAATGCATCCTGACGCCTAGGGCTTGAATAGTGTCCGCAAATCCGACTCCACAGGACTGTAGGGAAGGGGGGGAGGGTGTGGGACGTCAAGTCTAGGGTGCACGCTCTTGAGCTCATGCAGCTCCCTCCATATCAGCTAATGAGTGCAGTGGACAATATCAGACGAGCGCTGCCGAAAACCCCTGTTTCGCCTGACATCGACCATAGACCCAGACCATGCCACCTTCCCATGAAAACTTGGCTTGTCTATCCCCGTTCTTCCCACAAGGTAGGTGTTTATTGGCGAGTTGTCTCGCCTCCTCCATCAATCGCTAGCCGTGATTCCTTCGACGCAGATATCCCGAAAGATTCACAGATACTACTGGACCTAGGCGACATTTTATGTGATCTTACGCCGAGTCAACTATAGCTAGCCCGGATGTACCACCTCGCTCACTGCAACGCTGGGAGTCGACTTTCGACCGGAGAGAGTATCAGTAGATTACACTCCTCTGGCGTGTCCTATGCGCATGCGTTGCTAGTATTACGCTTCTTGATCGCCTAGTCATTTGGCCGCTTGATCGCTCATGATTGACTCTGCCGTTGAAGACAGGTGGAGACCACGAGTGAGACGGTGGAGAAAGGTCACTTGACGCAAAGTACGAACCGTCTTATGAGCTGGTGCGATACAGGCATATAACACGATCGGTATATTATTTATCTTCTTTTCAAAGAAAGGACGTCTTAAAGACGGCCTCGTAAGACTTCCGTTGAACATAACCACTCTTCCCACTTCTGCAAACCAGGCATCCAGAATCTCGTGCCACCCGGACGCACTAAGCCTTTCATCATGCTCCACTGCTGCTCGGATTGCTGAAGGAGCTCTTCGCGCTTTGAACGCGACAGGGGGTCAAGGGAGCTTGCGTCCAGTGATCGTTTCAATGTGACCGCCATGGACCCTACGATGACCATCGTGACATACCCATTCGTCATACCGAACCTAGTAATAAGGTTTAGCGCTTCCTTGAAACCACTTTCCGCCTCCACGTAGTCGCCTTTGATGAAGAATATTTTGGCTTGTGTCAACCGTGACCTTAGCTGGTCGAATCGCAAGATATCCCCAGGATCTAGATTGAGAAGGCTCCGACACAACTTGTCTGCCTGATGGAGGACGGACGATGCCTCGTTCAAGGTGTCTTGCCTTCCCATTTTTTCGTGGCCTTTGGCGTAAAGGCATTCAGCTAGAGATGCCTGTAATTGTGCCCGCGATCGAGCTGTGACTGTTGTTCCCTCAAGACCTTCAAGTAGTTGTCGAACATGCGTCTCTGCGTCCTCAGATAGCTGCTCACGACGCGCATCACTAAGTGAACAAGCTAGGGCGGGTCGATCCTCGTCGAAGTGAAGTATCTTTCCTGTGGATGCTTCATCCGCAGTCTTGAAAGCTGATCTCAGTGATCGCTCGGCGACTTTGAAGTCGCCTTTTTGACGCTCAATTTGACCAAGGAGTGAGGACTTCCGGAACAATACGACCTGCGTCATGGGCTGCGTAGCCTGAGGCTCCCACCGAGTGAGCGTTTCTTCAGCGTCTCGTAGTTTCTCTCTCTGCATTTCATCCAAGCACTTCTGAACAGCTACCAGGCCAGCTGCTGCGTTAACTCGGAGGTCGCATGGATCTGTGGGGCGTGGAGCTACGTTGGGCGGCAAAATCGTTTTCTTCGCCAACCTGCCAACGAGACTAGTGACCTCATTCACACGAGCTATGGCATAAGCACTCTGGCCATCGCGACACAAATCCACGGCCTTCTCGACTGCAAAGACCTTCCACGGTATCTTGGGCAGGCGTACAGCTTCCACAAGAGTAAGGATCAGATCTTCTCTGATCTCAGCGGATAGGTCGAAGCAATGCAAGGATTCGTCGTTTCCGAGAACGTGTTGAAGATGTGGAGTTGCCATCACGGAAATTGGTGTGCTGAGAGCTGTCAGGAAGAACGTGAGTGAGAGTGGCTTCCACAACATACCTAGGCTCGAGGTACTTCCAGGGTATCGCGTGGTATGAAACCAGCAACGCTTGCCGCTTCCAATATGAAGCCGACTCTTGGTCAAGTCCGTCCAGAGCTTTACTACTGCCATTCGGGAGTAATTTGTACATCTTGAGCCCATCGGTCGTTGTGTACTCAATGTAACGTTTTTCGGTAAGCTTATCGATGGCATCTTCGAGTCTCGTTTGGTCGTTGATGAAGGACACCAGGTGTGGGTCAACGCTGCTTTGGCGGCAGGCAACATTGCCTTCCTTGCTCCACCGACAGCGAGGCGCAGCCCCGCTCCTGAGCATATCTACCGGTACGTGGTACGAGGATGCGAGGAAATAGGATAATCGCAAGAGCTTATCGGTGTCATCGCAAAGGAAATCGTGACTGGACTGGCTAGGAAACGAGGTTTGCGGCAGAACAGCCGGGTTGGTCTTATCATGAACAGACGCCTTTGCCGCCGGTGCGGTAGCTCGAAAGCTTTGCGAGTGTCGAGGCGTGTCATCAATAAAGGTATCTGCCATCATCATTAGCCAGCGAGAGGCACTGCCAGAACGAAGGACTTGCGTGTGGCTGTGAGAGAGTCTATAAACTTTCTCGCGGCTGGAGTGGCACAGTACGCCATTTGCCGAATATCTCGTTTCTCCTGCAGAGACAATAGTGCCTGGCGAAGAGCCGCTGTTTCCGCCCTTTCCCAGCTAGGGATTAATGAGCACGAGGGCATGGGCCGGATACGGTATGACTGACACTGAAGGGCTTGAAATGTGTGCGAGAAGCCCGATGTAATCCTTCCCAGGCTTACGACTTTCTTCGGCGAGTATGTCGAATATTTTTGTCCATACCTGACCATGATGGAGGCGCTTCGTAACTTTCTTTCGTAGGGCATCTCCGGGCTGTGGCTGGTATTCCTGGATTATTTTGATGAGGTCGTCAAGGGATGCCGCTCGATGGTGACGTTGGGCAAGTTCGTAGCTGGCTAGGCGTCCCTGCAACGTGCCGGAGTCACAGGCAAAATATAGTCTGGCGGAAACGGCAGAGACTTCGTTTTGCGAGAGTACAATAGGTAGGGGTTTGTCGAGAATTGTCTTCTCTAGTCGATCGACAAGGGTACTCGTCTCCTCCGTGATCAAATTGGGCGCGTTGTTGTGAAGGAGCGGCACTTCGGAAACCGAACTGCTCGGGAAGGTCGAATTGCAATGCGGGAGGTTCGATACAAATGTGTTCGTTGACGGACTTGATGGACACGCGTCTGCTGCGATGAGAGACGCCGCAGAGCCAGGTCCGCGCAATGAATGATATCGTCTTATCGCTTTGCGGGAAGACCCCTTTTTGATCGGGAGGGTAGGCTCGGATATTGTCTGCTCGAATCGAGGACAGCCTCGTTTTGCAGGAGGCAGGGTTTTGTGGGAAGGCTTCCTCTTGGGTTGAGGGGTTGCCTCCGACGTCGTCTGCTCGAAAAGATGACGAGCTTCCTGGTAGGTGCAAAGAAGAATCGATCTCTGGAAGGACAGTGGTTATCTTCTGCAAAGAATTGTGACAGGGGCAGCTCGAACCTCATTTACGGTGATCGAATCGTAGTCTTTGGATTGGAGTCTCGTACAGAGGCAGGACATGTTGTGAGATAGCACGCTCAGAGAATTCGATGTGTTTGGGGAGAGTATTTGCTTAGTCAAGCTGTGAGGAGCACTGTTGTGTTCCACCACGTGACTGATTACTATGGAACTGCGGCGGAGAAGTGGACTTGGTGTGATCCACGCATTCCTAAATTTGGACCTTTGATTCTCGTCGAGAATCAGAGAGCTAAATTAGGTATAGCGTCGTTGAGGAGAAGAGATCAGCCAATCAGCAAAGGTATTGTCTCCCGTCCCAGAACAATCCCGAGAATGGCCGGCCGTGTTGTGTCACTTGTATGCACCACGCCCCCCTAAACCCCGAAATTTCGACGGTCAGGTTCACGTGATGTCAAGCAACATGACAGCTAACTCTCCACTCAGGAGACCACTGGCAGGCTTAACCATGAGACTGTCTTGGCAGCCCTCGTCCTTGAGTCAATCACGTCATCCCGTCTCCTCACGGCTCCGCTTCATGTACACTCTTCAATTCTTATCTCAAAAAAACAAAGTTTAACAGCAATGAGTAGATGCTGCAATAGTGTGATTATTCGATATGTAATTGTACGGGTTATCTTCCCTTTTTTTTGCCCATTACTTTAAAGGGGCAGAGGCGCAGACGAATACCTACTTTCTCCAAATCGTAGGCTTACAGTACCCCGCTCGGGAGGTCTTGCAACTTTAGGCCAATCGTGTTGATACACTAGTGTCTGAGACACCCATAACCCCTTCCGACATGCTTTAGTTGGTTATCCCCCTGTATAGATGAGCACATATCCGGCCGTTCATTCATCTAGCGCGCTCCAAAAAGTGGTACGGACTGTGTTCTCTCCGTTGCTCCAAGATGTCTCGAATTTGAATCGCCATAGTCGTGATCGAAAATTTGCAGAAACTGGCTGGACGTAGCGAGGATCAACAAGACTTGTTCGTCCGCGTATTGGGCAATGACAGGCAGCAGCTTGAGACTTGAGTTACCTTAAACAGTCACCCTAGCACTTGTCTACAAATTTGCGCAGAACCTCGTGCTCGTTATGGATAATCGTCGTATGCAGTGCCGCCGACCTTGCGAATTGCGTGTGTTGATTGTGGCGCCATATTTTATGAGCAAATGGGCCATCGCGCCGGCTTCCAAGACCACGTGAAGAGCTGCGTAGTGGTGGCTGTCAACTGCGTGTAAGACTGTGGTCCGTCCACTGCTATCCATCGTGTTTACGCTTGATTGACCTCGAATGAGAAGCTGCATAACATTCAGCTGCGCCCTGGCTGTGGCCCAGTCTAATTCTTCTGGGATTGGGGATGGCGGTGGCAGGTCGCTAGCTGGTGCCCAAACGTTTGCCAGCCGATCTGGGGCGCATACCGCGGCAGGCGTGCACCCAGAGTAAGCGCCGTCACATCGCTCGATGGTGGGGATCAATATCAGCTCCGAGCACCCCCACTCCCACAAAAGGGATCTTAGGGTACGGAGTACATATCTGTACACTGCAAACACGCTCACTCCTCCTCCCACACTCACGCCTGGCTCCATGACGTTCACCCCTGGAGATGGGTCGGACCACCGGGTCGGGGCGGCATTAGCAACACCCTACTTCCACGTCTACGCCTGTGAACGTGCTTTGTGCTACGTGCATACTGGAGGACTCCGTAAGGAATTCTACGCACACCCCTAACCGGCAAGGACGGAGGCGCCGCTGTCGGGATCCGGGGTGGTGGACCGTGCCCACCTGCATGTTGCTATTCGCAGAGGGGTAGCTAGCGTATCCCAATCTTTCCTGACACCTTCTTTTGACCTCCTACGGTATATCGTCTACTAACGTCTCGGACCCTTAGTCCTGTCGTTGGCAAGGCTCCGCCGGGAAGAGAAACCTCCTTTCTCGGTCGTCTCTGTGTTGGTGCACGTCACCATGCCGCGCCGTTCTTCTATCTGATTGACAGAGTTGATGAAGCAAAGCCATGTAAGAACGAATCAGGATTTCGCGCAGGAAAAGCTCTCGCCCGGAATTCAATTGATCCCAGAAGCAACACGATTCCGTACCGACACACGATCAAACAGCAAAGCCGTGTAATTTGATCATGCCTTTGCATTCCCACGTCCATAGTGTAAGTTCCATCAATTGTGCTACTCGCGTTGAGGACAACGGCGGTTTTTTGGGATTCAAATGCAAGACAAATCCCCGTCTTGTGGTGGGAAGTCCTACACACTTTCCGACAGGGGGCTTTCGGGCCCAACCCGCCTAGCCCCGCGACGGGCCCAGGAGCAGATCGCCCAAATGCACTGGGGCCTCTTTGAACGGCCCCACGGTCGTTTGAGGGCCGTCATATCACTCTATTGCTTGCCTGCGCGGCGACCTGCAGCAAAGGCCCTTGCACGAGCGCAGCATTCCACCCTTCCGTCCACCGCGCATATTCTGCCCGAGACAGAAGGCCCAGCCCGAGCGATCTTCCAGCGCATCAGCTCCACCACCTTTCACCCAGCAAAGCATCAGTAGAGCTACGCGGTTGATACCTTGCGAGTCGTTTTATAAGTGTGGGGAGTAATCACTCGGCCGCCAAAGATCAAACACGACATCATTGACAAGTAAACCAGCCAGGAGGCAGCACGCGGCAGTCAGCCTGGATGTCTTTCCTTCACAAACTCGCTTTTCTACTTCTCATCGGTCTAAATGGGCTGCCGTTCTTTGTACCTTGGTTGGCACAGAAGCTCGCTCGGCATAAGGATAGCCCGATCTTTCTCAATTCGATGCTGTTACAGTTTATAGACGACTTTCAAGAAGGGCTCATTTGCCAACTCAAGCCAGTGTTACAAAAGTTTGTCTTTGAAATCCGATCTGAGAACGAAATCGATTCTACAAATTGAATCACGAAA